TGCACCCATACTTCAATCACAAACATATAGAATTGGACCCCGTATATAAAAACCCACACAGATCAAAACCGAAAATGACAGTACTCACCATAACGGACCGGACAGTGTAAATTCCAAGCGGAGTAGAATAACATCATTTCATCGGAGGCTCCACTGCTGATGTCACCTAGTACGGTGACAAAACGTCTGAACAAAAACAAGCCAGCTCGGCGAGCATGTCGACAACCTCATCCACAACACGAGCTACAGATCTTTGCCAATACTTTAAACCATTTTTCCTGTTACATTCGTACTGTATCATTAGCAGTAGCTTAAAGCCTGACGTAAGCTGTGATACTACTGTATTCTGAACTGCAGAAGTGATTAACCAATCCTGGACAGAAGGTGGCAAAAAAAACTACTACTGGTTCTACTTTCAGTTAGACCTGTACTTGAATATTTGACGTGTGCCTTGTAGGCACCAAATAAAAAGTACATTTCAAACTGGACAGGACAGCAAGTTTTGAAACTAGTTAATCAAAAGATTATCACAGATGACAAAGACCAATGCAATGTATTCATTTTAATGCCCATCTATCATGATATCCAATTGTTTTAAAATGATTTCAGGTTTTTGCTTTAGTTTGGACATTTATTTTTACTGGATCACTCATTTTTTTGATATCAGCCCTTGCTTTCCTTTTAACTTTCATAGGGAAGGCAACAGCCTATTATTGCTTGACTATTAATCCAGAAACCAGGTAATATTCTGAGCCACGGCACATGATGGAATTTCAATTCAATAAAAATAAATCTGGAATTAAGTGTCAGATGATGACCATGAATCCATTGTTGATTGTCACAAAAACCCATTTGGTTCACTAATGTTCTTTATAGAAGGAAACTGCCATCCTTACCAGGTCTGGCCTAGATGTGGCTCTAGACCCACAGCAATGTGGACGACTCTTAATTGCCCTCTTAGCATTAGGGACTGGCAATAAATGCTGCCTAGCCAGCAATGTCCTCATTCCTTGAATGAATCAAACAACTATTTCCAATCTGTGTCTTTATCTTTCTAACTGCAGTTAATCTAAAATAACATTTTCTTTAGCCTTGATACTCCAATATTCCACTCATATGTCTGCTTGTCAAGTTAAACCAGTCTTTCTTCATAACTCAGACCTCTGATATTAGAAATCAAGCTTCTCTGTCCTGTCATCAGTATCTCACTGTAGAACCTCTACAGTGTGTTCAAGGTGCAGTCTTATAAGAGCAAATTACAATTTTGTTCTTTACTTGCTTTCTAATATTTAGGCTTTAGAATTCAACACCTTCTAATTTTGTTGATTAATGCTTTGGACTGACTGGATATACTTAGTGTCAAGACTTCAGCTTCATCCTCAGTTAGTTCAACAGCATGCAGTCTATTTTAACTCCTATACAGAGCAGTTCATACTTTGTTTGAAATTCCATCTCCACATCCCACGTCCTTGGGTATTTTGTGCAAGTTATTCTGTGATATTTGAGCTGCTTCCTCCGATTCTACTGGCCCTCCTAGTTTGTAAATCATGTACAAATTTTACTACCTTGTATTGAGTTTCTGTTTCAAGGAGATTTACATAAATTAGAAACAGTAATATCTCAGCACAATGCTATATTTCAATGTTCCGATCCGAGCTTGAACAATTCCAGCAAGGAATAAATTTTCTACGCTTCAGCCAGTTTCTTATCCATTCACAATTGACTTTAAATCCCCACCACTTTAAGGTTAATAAATAGGCTTTCATGTGGCATTTTATTAGATATCATTTTGGAAGTCAAGACACACCAGCGTACTCACAGGGCTTCTAGGAGTCAAAGAGGTTAGTCAAACAGGACTTTCTCCTTTGAATCCCTGCTGAATAATTTTAACTGGATTATTAATACAAAGATGGTCCTCAAATTTACTTCTGATGATTACTGCACAATGTATTCATTCAGACAGACGGGCAGTACGGTGGCTCAGTAGTTAGCACTGCTGCCTCACAGCACTAAGGACCTGGCTTGATTTTAGCACTGGGTGACTGACTGTGCAGAGTTCGCACATTCTCCCCGTGTCTGCATGGGTTTCCGACGGGTGCTCCGGTTTCCTCCCACAATCGGAGGATGTGCAAGTTAGGTGGATTGGCCATGCTAAATTGTCCATAGTGTCCAGGGGCATGCAGACTAGGTGTATTAGCTGTGATAAATGTGGAGTTATGGGGATACAGTAGGGAGCTGGGTCTGGGTAGGATGCTAGGTAGACAAACAGGAGGCTGGAAGAACACAGCATCCCAGGCAGCATCTGAAGGAAAGGAGCAGTCAACATTTTGGACATTACCCTTCTCCAGTCCTGAAGAAGGGTAATACCTAAAACGTTGACTGCTCCTTTCCTCCAGATGCTGCCTGGCCTGCTGTGCTCTTCCAGCCTACTGTCTGTCTATCCTGAATTCCAGCATCTGCAGTTTTTTTGTCTCTAACCTGGGTAGGAGGCTGTTCAGAGAGTCTGTGTGGACCCAATGGGCTGAATAGCCTCTTTCCACAATGTAGGAATTCTGTGTGCAATGATCTGAGTTGTTTTGTCACCCTTTTGGCCACTAACCTATTTCCAAACAACTGGTTACCATTCAAATTTCTGTGACTCCCTGAATAAAACTTAGTCCAATGCAAGTTTCTTCCTCAGTCTCTTCTAGCATTCTGTTCGAATCCTTTGCTTTTGAAAGCTACCCCATCTTCAATCCCCTTAACCCCCTAAAGTTCTTTAAGGTTTCCAAGGTGGAGCCCAACTTTCTCAGAATTCCAATCAGGCTTTCACTTCTGCCACGGTACAGGAATGCCTCTTAGCAATGTTACAAATAACATCCTGTGGAATTGTGACAATAGTCAGATACCCCTCCCTCCTCATTATCTCAAACAATTTGCAGCCTTTCAACACGGTTGACTTTTCCTCCATTGGCTTGGGTGGGACTGTGCTTCTTATTTATCCAGTAATTATCCAAGAATGGCTGCAATGGTTTTAATTCCTGGTTATGGACAATTGCCACAAGACACTTTGCCCCCCACCCTGGCCACCTCTTACCATCATCTGAAAACATTTAGTTTTTGCATGTACACTGATGTCCAGGTGCCTTTGCACCATCCTCTCTCTCAGCCCCTCCACTGTCTCTAAATTGTCAGTTAGCATGTCCATTGTTCAGTATTAGGTGTGCAAAACTTTCCTCCAACTAAATATCGGGAAGACTAATGCCAATGGTTTTAGTCCATGCCACAAACTCTGTTCCCAGGACACCAACATCACTCCTCCTTTTAAAGCTGAACCAGACTGTTTACAATCTTGATTTCACATCTGACTCCAACATGAGCTTCTGATCATGTAACCATGTCATGATTACCATTGTTGTATTTGTTCCCTAATCTTTCTGACTCTCCATCTTGATTTCCTCTTATAAAATGTTCTTAAAATCAATTTCTTTGACCAAGCTTTTGGCTTTGCGCTGCAATAGTGCCAAATATAGTTGTTGCCTTATCTTGCATTATGTTTCCAAGACAAGCCTTGGGGCATTTTATAGTGTTAAACATACTATGCACATGCAAAATTCTTGTTGTTCTGTGATTGCTGGACATCAGAGGTGCTATGACTTCAATTTCTTCAATCATTAATAATATTAAGCAATGCCTCTTCAGGCTTTCTTCAAATACTGGGTCAAACAGTAATTGTGCATCAAATCGATCAACTGAGTTTTCTAGTTTTTAACTATGTTGAATGAAGTCTTCCATTAAATGCCTTTATCAGGCATCTTTTCAGGGCAAATATCCCTAATCAAGTGTTAAGCATGAAATAAACTTTTCTTTTCAATTTGGATCACAAAAACAATTAAAGATCTACACCATCACCTTCTCAAGGACAATTGAGAATGGGTAATAAATGCCAGCCCAGCTATTGATGCCAACATCCCATGAATGGATTTTTTTTTACAACTTTGGATTTCAGCATCCCTCTAGCATTAGGCTGAATCCTTTATCATTACAGATACTGTATCTACCCAGAGTAATTTATATCAAAATGTTCTGTCTCTCACAGGATCAACCTCATACCCTTTCATTTGCGTCCTCTCATGCTCCCCAGGGGCAAGTCCATTAATTATCCTAAGGAAATCTAAACGCAGCAGTCACTGCTGTTTTCCACTTGACAGCAATCTTGTGCAACAGAATTTCCAGGTCCCTAACTTTCTGTCTGACGCTTTTTCGTACACTGTTTCTTAATTCCTAAATCATTTTTTAAGATTCATTATCAGTCAACTCGTTTTGCAACTTTTCACCTCTTTATATTTGGCTCCCTCATTTGTAAAAATTCTACGGCAAACATATATCAGATTTCATCTCAGCCATACTTCATTTTGCTGTTTCCCTTTCTCTTAGTATTTCTCCTGTTGTCCCTTTTATTAAAGCTCATATATTTTCTTTAGAGTTTGTTTCTATTTTGTTTACCCTTTTAAAATTTAACTTCACTCAGATGATTTACCTTTTAATTTTTACTTTGTTATCTACCTGCTATAGGCAATTTTTCATTTTAGCTCCTTTTCACCACACTTCTTATCTTAATGACTCAATTGCTTACTCTTTAAATGAAATGTAGCTACCCTAAATTTTAAAAAAATCCCAATTTTTCTCCCCCTCCATCTGATGCCACTAACATTGAGCCACTGAATTCAGTTACGATTCCATGGATACGGAGAATGCTCTGATACTGTCCACAAATAATTAATTGAAAATTACAAGGCTCTCCAACTGTGAGAGGCCATCATTTGCATATGTGCACATCTAGCAGGGGATCATGAAGTAGTCATCGCAAGTGGGACTTGATCTGATTATCCTCCTCCTCAGTTCAGAAGTAGCTAGTCAATTCTTGAATGATTAATGCAAGACTGAAAAAAACTCCATTTGCAGACTTACGTAAAGGCTTACTTAAAGGCTTTATTTAAAAGTTTATTTTTCTTTTGTACCTGTGGGAGTAATGCTTCGGAATGATGACGATGGAGTAACAGGTGGGGTGACCGGTGGAGTAAGGCTGCCGCTATTGTGACGTTGTGGTGTAGAAATACTTCCTCGAGGAATGGTACTTGATATTGATAAAGATAGTTTAGGCTGAATCTTTTTCTTAAGAGATTCTTGTTCCCGGCGAGCAGCATCAGTCATAAATCTACAATAACAAAAAAAAAATCACAGGTAATGTCGGGCTTTCTATCAAGGCATAACAATTTAGTAGATTACCTTTAGTGTACAGAATGTTTTTAGGGCACAGAAAGGAATATATTAAGGAAGACGTGTCCAAGTTCAAATCCTTTACTAACTTAGTAGAATTTAATAGTTTTCAGAAGTAAATGGTCAGCAAGCGAGATAGTACACAACTCTATCACAATATACTGAGGGATTAAACTACTGAGCAAACCTCATCTGTATATGCTATATTTACTCCCAGCTTGGTTAACGTTGCATTCACACCTCTCGAATCAGAAGGATCTAGTTCAAATCCTACTCCAGAACTCGGGTACACAATCTGGACTACCAATTCAGTACACTACAGTTGGGAATATATTGGCAGAGGGATCACCTTTTGGATGAGTCTATATATAAAGTGTTTATCAGCCTGCTTATAGGACATTAAAAAAAAAATCATGGTATTTTTGTAGAAAAGAAAGATACTAGCTGCTACATTTGTCTACAAAACAATATCCAAGAGTAATTAGTTTGCTGTGAAGTACTATGGGACATCTTGTGTACATGAGAGAGATACTGTAAAACAGAAAGTACTTCCTATAATCATTTGTTCTAGACTAAATGCCAGATCAGTTGTGTTCATTTTTTCCTTTTCTGAAAACAACCTTTCTATTTTCCTCAAGCTTATTATACATCTAGTTTTTGGGTCGTAGATTTAAAGGTCAATTCAAATTATCTATCTATTGTTGAAGTTCAGGATAAACACTAGCTTATGGATCTTTTATAATTATACATAGTTTTAGGAATTGTTTGTTCAGCCACTTTTCATGGACTGACTCAGGATCATAGGTCAAGCATCAAAACAATAGTCTCAATAAACAGCTTACACAAAAAGCTCTGCTGTTTGAATAGGAAGCAGCAATTTCTCAGCCCTGTGCCAGATAACTGAGATGGAACTGAACTAAATTCAATACTTTATTTCCTAAAAGGGTGAACTGTTCTTGGCTAGGGAACACATAGCTATTGCAGTGTAAATATGCAGTCTTAACCAAGAAGACTGCCATTCCATGCTGGAAATGCCCAAGTTCATATCCAATATTAGAACTTGGGAAAATGGAACTCATGTTAGTGACCATAAAATAAACTTACATTTTACACTGGCAAACATACAGAAACATAACCACCTTTTGCTGTCTGGCAGCTTATTAGTCAGTAACATCCGATTAGTTGTCTGGTCAACCTTTCTAAATATTAGGATTCTACACTTAGGACCAAATGCTTACTGTCACTGTGTAAATCAAATTTAGGTTGCAGTATTCAGAATTTTTATTGGCATTTTGAGAAGGACATTCCATCATGCCTTTTACTTCTTCCACGATAAGGGAAAGCCAGTGGTTTAGTCTTGCTGATTGGCAAAGCATTGTGTCATATTGCAAGTGCAGACTATGATTGGCTAGTTTTGTTTGTCAATTTCAGAAAGTAACAGCAATGGATTGTTCTATCACCTATGCAGAGATTTGGCCTGCAACATTATTCTTATGCATGTTAAAACACATAAAACAGTTAAAACTGTCAACTAACTACAGAAAATAAAAGAAATTTAAAGGGTGCATTTAAAGAGTAGAATAGTAATCCAGCCCAGTGAAACCACAAGAATAGGTGATTTTACTCTCTTAATTAATTTTAAATTCTAAAAGTTTGCAAATTTGTATCCAGCAAAATTCCATAGATGATCTCCTGATCCCTGAAAACTGTATAGTGAAAGGAAGTTGTCACCAGTCTATAAATTCAAGTCCTAATCATATGAATTGATAACCTCGCAGCTTTGTTCTTGCCAAACCAAGTTTCCAGATGGAGCAGCAGAGAATATAGACTTCTGAGTGGGGATAAAAGTGGACTCTCTTCTTACAGTCTACACTTAATTCTTACCTATGATTTAATCATTGATATTTACTGGCAACTGCCATAATGGAGCACTTTATACTTCTGCTGAATGAAAGTGCACAATGGCAAGATACAGAGAGATGAGGCTGTAAGGTAATCTGAAAGTGAGAATGAAACACTAAGTTCATTTGCTGGGTCTTAACAAGCTACTGAGGTCTAATGAGGACACAATGAAGCAAATATCAGCCGTAGTTCAAGTGAGAAAGTGTTGAATTCTGAGTTACTGGTTATGGCTGAAATTTCAAAGTTCTCCAAGTTCATATCTGTGTCCTTCAACACTAATGGTTAATTAAGTGGCTCTTTGTGGCTTAGTGACCAGAACTACACATAGGAGTCGAGGTGTGGCTTGGCCAGGACACTACATGGTTTCAGCATGATTTCCTCTAATTTGTATTCTCCTCTCATGGAATGAAAAGTAGCGAGGCTCAGAAAAAAAACTGAAATTACATCAAAATCACACTCATTTAATTACAGCAGTTGAGGCTTATTGTGGCACCATGGTAGTGTCTCCATCTCTGGCCCAGGAGGCCAAGGTTCAAGTTCCACTTGCTCCAGAAAGCACTTCTGTGGCTCAGAACTGAGCCAGAAGGCCTGCTTTCAACTGCAACCAGCTCCAAAGGTGAGACATTAACATGTCTAAACAGATTGATTAAAAATATCTACAAATGCCAGCTGCCACAATATCCTACAAAACAATCTACAGAGGTATGTGAGATAACAGGGTGTGGAGCCAGATGAACACAGCAGGCCAAGCAGTATTGGAGGAGCAGGAAGGCTGACGTTTCGGGCCTAGACCCTTATTCAGAAATGGGGGAGGGGAAGGGGGTTCTGAAATAAATAGGGAGAGAGGGGGAGGTGGATAGAAGATGGATAGAGGAGAAGATAGGTGGAGAGGAGACAGACAGGTCAAAGAGGCGGGGATGGAGCTAGTAAAGGTGAGTGTAGGTGGGGAGGTAGGGAGGAGATAGGTCAGTCCAGGGAGGACGGACAGGTCAAGGGGGCGGGATGAGGTTAGTAGGTAGGAGATGGGGGTAGGGCTTGAGGTGGGAGGCGGGGATAGGTGGGAGGAAGGACAGGTTAGGGAGGCGGGGACGAGCTGGGCTGGTTTTGGGATGCGGTAGGGGTAGGGGAGATTTTGAAGCTTGTGAAGTCCACATTGATACCATTGGGCTGCAGGGTTCCCAAGCGGAATATGAGTTGCTGTTCCTGCAACCTTGGGTAGTATGGTTGTGGCACTGCAGGAGGCCCAGGATGGACATGTCGTCTGAGGAATGGGAGGGGGAGTTGAAATGGTTCGCGACTGGGAGGTGCAGTTGTTCAGTGTGAACCGAGCGTAGGTGTTCTGCAAAGCGGTCCCCAAGCCTCTGCTTGGTTTTCCCGATGTAGAGGAGGCCACAACGGGAACAGCGGATGCAGTATACCACATTAGCAGATGTGCAGGTGAACATCTGCTTGATGCGGAAAGTCTTCTTGGGGCCTGGGATGGGGGTGAGGGGGGAGATGTAGGGGCAGGTGTAGCACTCCCTGCAATTGCAGGGAAAAGTGCCGGGTGTGGTGGGGCTGGAGGGGAGTGTGGAGCGGACAAGGGAGTCACGGAGAGAGTGGTCCCTCCAGAAAGCAGATAAGGGTGGGGAGGGAAAAATGTCTTTGGTGGTGGGGTCAGATTGCAGATGGCAGAAGTGTCGGAGGATGATGCGTTGGATCCGGAGGTTGGTGGGGTGGTACGTGAGGATGAAGGGGATTCTGTTTTGATTGTTATTGCGGGGAGGGGGTGTGAGGGATGAGTTGCGGGAAATGAGGGAGACGCGGTCAAGGGCGTTCTCGACCACTGAGGGGGAGAAGTTGCGGTCCTTGAAAAACGAGGACATCTGAGATGTACGGGAGTGGAATGCCTCATCCTGGGAGCAGATGCGGTGGCGGCGAAGGAATTGGGAATAGTGGATGGCATTTTTGCAGGAAGGTGGGTGGGAGCAGGTGTATTATAGGCAGCTGTGGGAGTCGGTGGGCTTGAAATGGATATCGGTTTCTAGGTGGTTGCCAAAGATGGAGACAGAGAGGTCCAGGAAGGAGAGAGAGGTATTAGAGATGATCGACCCATTGTCTCCGCCTGCTCCTGCCCCACCGAACTTATCTCCACCTATCTCGACTCCATTTTCTCCACCTTGGTCCAGGAACTCCCGACCTACGTCCGTGACACCATCCATGCCCTCCACCTCCTCCAGAACTTCCAATTCCCTGGTCCCCAATGCCTCATTTTTACCATGGACGTCCAGTCCCTGTACACCTGCATTCCCTACACAGATGGCCTAAAGGCTCTCCGCTTCTTCCTATCCCCCAGGCCCGACCAGTCCCCCTCCACTGACACCCTCATCCGCTCAGCCAAACTCGTCCTCACCCTCAACAACTTCTCTTTCAATTCCTCCCACTTCCTACAGACAAAGGGGGTGGCCATGGGTACCCGCATGGGCGCAAGCTATGCCTGCCTCTTTGTAGGTTACGTGGAACAATCCCTCCTCCGTACTTACACTGGCCCTAAATCCCACCTCTTCCTCCGTTACATTGATGACTGTATCGGCGCCGCCTCGAGCTCCTCGTGGGAGCACGAGGCGGCGCCG